CTATAATAAAACTTAATTCCCTATCATGGTTCAAAGAAGGTGCTCAATTAATGTCTGATTATTGAACTGAATGGGATAAGGCAATAAAAGCTCAACTCCACATGAATGGAGGCAGATATTCCCAAAACTGAGGAATTTCAAAGCATCGATTTCTCTTTAGATATGCTGGCGTAAGACGGATACACTTAAGATTCATTCTGCTATGTGACCTGGTTGCAACCGTGGCCCAATCTGAGGCTACTCTCAGAAGCCATGTACCTACAGCTGGGTGATTTGAAGAGTCATTGTCCTCCTGCTCTGATAGGGTACATTGGATTACAGATCTCTCATGAATTTCCAGTTGATTTCCAGTTGACCTGTACAATTTCCAGTGGCACTGACTGTCAGAGAGTTGGCTGCTCCTGCAAATGAGCTCAAGCTTAAAGTTCTCAGGGCTAATTTAGTTGAACGTTTTATAAGGTTACTTATGGATTCTGTTATGACAGTTCTAGTATTGGAGGTAGTGGTAGTAGTCATGGTAACTGTGATAGTTTGTGAAAGTGGTAGGTGCAGCAAGAGCGTCTACAGATTGCCGTTTATACAAGCTTTGCCCTGCATTATCTCATTTAGTCTTCTAAAAACCACAGGGGGTAGGAGTTATTTTTTTTTCACTTCAGGTAAGGCACTTGAGACACAGAGAGGTTAGGGAACATATCTAAGTCTACTTAGGACAGTATATTGTAAAGTTTGAACTTGATGTTGGAATTTTGGCCTTGCTATGGTTCGGATGATTGTCTCCTCCAAATTTCATGTTGAAATGTGATCCTCAGTGTTGGAGGTGGGGCCTAGTGGGAGGTGGTTGGGTCCTAAGGGTAGATCCCTCATGAAGGGCTTGGTGCCACCCCCACAGTAATGAGGAAGCTCTTGCTCTATTAGTTCACATGAGAGCTGGGTGTTTAAAAGAACCTGGCATTTCTCTTGCTTCCTCTTTTGTCAGCCATGTGACATGCCTGCTCCCCCTTAGCCTTCCAACATGAGTAAAAGCTTTCTGAGACCTCACCAGAAGCCAGGCAGATGCTGGTGTTATGCGCATATAGCCTGCAAAACTGTGAGCCAAATAAGCCTCTTTTCTTTATAGATTAGCCAGTCTCAGGTACTCCTTTATAGCAATTCAAAATGGACTAACACAGGCCTCATATACTCTTTATTCTGGGACAACACAGGAAGTTGGCAAATGGCATCCTTCAGGGAGCAGGTCTATTTACCAAGAGCTGGTGGGCAAATGCAGTGGTTTTTCAAGAGATGTATGTCTGTGGGTGGAATTACAGCTTGTCTGAGGTACAAACTGCTCCCTGCAAAAGGGACTTGGAATCATTCATATCTCAGAGAATACATATGAAAAATAAAATGCCTTCAAAATATAGAGGCATATGCACGTGCACACACACACACAGACCTACCTCATCAACTTTCAAAGGCACAACACACTTATTTAAGCATCAAAGCTTATTTTAAACATTTTAAAATTATACTTTAAGCTCTGGGGTACATGTGCACAACATGCAGGTTTGTTACATAGGTATACATGTGCCATGTTGGGTTTGCTGCACCTGTCATCTCGTCATTTACATTAGGTATTTATCCTAATGCTATCCTTCCCCCAGCCCCCGACCTGCTGACAGGTCCCAGTGTGTGAAGTTCCTGTCCCTGTGTCCATGTGTTCTTATTGTTCACCTCCCATTTATGAGTGAGAATATGTGCTGTTTGGTTTTCTCTTCTTGTGTTACTTTGCTGAGAATGAAGGTTTCCAGTTTCATCCATGTCCCTGCAAAGGACATGAACTCATCCTTTTTTATGGCTGCATAGTATTCTAAGGTGTATATGTGCCACATTTTCTTTATCCAGTCTAACATTGATGGGCGTTTGGGTTGGTTCTAAGACTTTGCTATTGTAAACAGTGCTGCAATAAACATACTTGTCTATGTGTCTTTATAGTAGAATGATTTATAATCGTTTGGGCATATACACAGTAATGGGATTTCTGGGTCAAATTGTATTTCTAGTTCCAGATCCTTGAGGAGTTGCCACACTGTCTCCCACAATGGTTGAACTAATTTACACTTCTACCAACAGTGTAAAAGTGTTCTTATTTCTCCACATCCTCCCCAGCATATGTTGTTTCCTGACTTTTTAATGATCTCCATTCTAACTGCCGTGAGATGGTATCTCATTGTGGTTTTGATTTGCATTACTTTAATGATCAGTGATGATGAGCTTTTTTTGTATGTTTGTTGGTTGCATAAATGTCTTCTTTTGAGAAGTATCTGTGCATATCCTTCACCCACTTGTTGATGGGGTTGTTTTTTTCTTTTACATTTAAGTTCTTTGTAGATTCTGGATATTAGCCCTTTGTCAGATGGATAGATTCCAAAGTTTTTCTCCCATTCTATAGGTTGCTTGTTCACTCTGCTGATAGTTTCTTTTGCTGTGCAGAAGCTCTTTGGTTTAATTAGATCCCATTTGTCAATTTTGGCTTTTGTTGTCATTGCTTTTGGTGTTTTAGTCATGAAGTCCTTGCCCGTGCCTATGTCCTGAATGGTATTGCCTAGGTTTTCTTCTAGGGTTTTTATGGTTTTAGGTCTAACATTTAAGTCTTTAATCCACCTTGAGTTAAATTTTGTATAAGGTGTAAGGAAGGGATCCAGTTTCAGCTTTCTGCATATTGCTAGCCAGTTTTCCCAGCACCATTTATTAAATAGGGAATCTTTTTTCCCTATTGCTTGTTTTTATCAGGTTTGTCAAAGATCAGATGGTTGTAGATGTGTGGTGTTATTTCTGAGGCCTCTGTTCTGTTCTATTAGTCTATATATCTGTTTTGTACCAATACCATGCTGTTTTGGTTACTGTAGCCTTGTAATATAGTTTGAAGTCAGGTAGCATGATGCCTCCAGCTTTGTTCTTTTTGCTTAGGATTGCCTTGGCAATGCAGGTTCTTTTTTGGTTCCATATGAAATTTAAAGTAGTTTTTCCTAATTCTGTGAAGAAAGTCAGTGGCAGCTTGATGGGGATAGCATTGAATCTATAAATTACTTTGGGCAGTATGGCCACTTTCATGATATTGGTTCTTCCTATCCATGAGCATGGAATGTTCTTCCATTTGTTTGTGTCCTCTTTTATTTCATTGAGCAGTGGTTTGTAGTTCTTGAAGAGGTCCTTCACATCCCTTGTAAGTTGGATTCCTAGGTATTTTATTCTCTTTGCAGCAATTGCAAATGGGAATTCACTCATGATTTGGCTCTCTGTTTGTCTGTTATTGATGTATAGGAATGCTTGTGATTTTTGCACATTGATTTTGTATCCTGAGACTTTGCTGAAGTTGCTTATCAGCTTAAGGAGATCTTGGGCTGAGACAATGGGGTTTTATAAATATACATTCATGTCATCTACAAACAATTTAACTCAAGATGGATTAAAGACTTAAATGTATGACCTAAAACCATAAAAACCCTAGAAGAAAACCTGTTTTCCTAATTGAATACCCTTTATTTCTTTCTTTTGCCTGATTGTCCTGGCCAGAACTTCCAATACTATGTTGAATAGTAATAGCAATGTTTCAAAAATGAGTTGGAACTTATCCTGCTTTCTGAAACAGAATGTATTAAACTAGTCTTCAATTTTGTGAGGGCAGGAATAGTGTCTGTTTTATTCCTATTATATCTTCAGTACCTAGCTTTGTGTCTATTACACAGTATGTGTTCTATAAACATTTGTTGAATAAATCTATGAATAAACTGAAAATCACATCTAAATAGAACATAATGAAGTGTAAAGCAGTCATTGTGTTTTTGGTGACCTCATATCAAGTCAGTGGAGAGCTTGAAGTGTTTGTGGTCCATCTCCCTCTTCACTTTGTCTTTTTTTGAAACTCATCACTCTTCCCTGGATCTTTGTGGAAGCACTTATTTAGCCATAAATCCACAGTTGCTAAGCTCAGCCAAATCCAAGTTAAGATCCATCTAAACCCCATCTGATTTGTGTGGCCTCCTGCACTTTGGATTATTTTTCTAAGTAAAAGGAAACCATTGGCTTGGTGACAATCCACTGATTTAAATATACCTTCAGGTATGGATTTCCCATAAACTCAGTAACGAGCCGAGCCTATTTGTTTGGCTTTTAATTTTGAAATTTATTAGCTCTTTCGAGCCATTCACAGATATAAGCTTATTCTTAATTGTTTCATTTTTATGCTTACCCCAAACATAGTAAATCTTAATGGCTGTGCTTCCAACAATAAGAGGGAAGGTGGTAGCTGAAGGAAACGTATTCAAAACACATTAAATTAGCAACAATATAATAACATTTCCAAGCTGTTCATAAGAATTTTTATTGACTTTCAAAGAGTAATTGTACTAAGACATTTATTGAAGGGACCATCCAGATGGATACATTCTCCCCACTTTAAGTTATTGTCATAACATGTTTTCTTCGTCCATCTCTCTGAATCATTCAGAACTGTGAAAATTCTGTTTTACCACTTTAATTACAGAACTGGTTGAGAATGTATTCTTTTGTTTGGCAGTATTACCAACGCACTCTATTTGTTTACGGCTCTTTGAGAAAGCCATTTTAATAAGGTCAGATTTGCAATTTAAATGAACTTTAATATTTCTTGCAAAGTCTAGGGCTGGTTATTTATGCAAGGGGTGAACATGGTGGAAATTTATGGTTTAAAAATACATTCTCCTGTTTTCTTTTCCAAATGGTGCATCTCAGGTGATGAACGCTTTCAACTATATTTATAATTTTTTTTTCTCCAGGAAAGGGCAGAAAATCCTAATCAGGGAAATAAATCATGACTCTAAATGGGGTTTTTAATACTGTATTTTTCTGCTTCTCCCATTAAAATCTGTTCCCCGAGCCCCTATTGTATTCATGAATAACTATCAGTTAGTCACTATCAAATGGGGTGAACTCTTTGTTCTGCTTCTCTCCTTATAACACACAAACAAGCAAAACCAAAATGAAGATAATTCCCTGAACTTTAATGAGTGACCGTCTGTTGAATTTAGCTAATCATACTTGATAGAAAGCTTTAGGCAAGAAATCAAGCCCTGTACATTTACCCATCGAAAGAATCTGTAACTGACAGTGTCAGGCAGGCCACTTTATATTTGAATCCCTTCAACACAGTTTTCTGTAGGAGGGGTGGATGTTAGATACATTCTTTTGTTAATTTGCTGAGATGTTGTTTTTTGGTTGGAGTGCTATCAATTCCCTGGCTTGAACTCTGCTGTCCCCTTAGTAAGAGCTCTAAAGATGCTTGTTGGAAACACACTGAAGAATAAAACAAGAGTTAGAAGATTGGAAGGAAACTAAGTAGCGAGGTTTTCAGCCACCCACGTTGCAATATTTGACAACCTTGGAATAGGATGACTTTCTTTCTTTTTTTTTTTGAGACAGAGTCTAGCGCTGTTTCCCATGCTGGAGTGCAGTGGTGCAATCTCGGCTCACTGCAAGCTCCACCTCCCAGGTTCACATCATTCTCCTGCCTCAGTCTCCTGAGTAGCTGAGATTACAGGCTCCCACCACCATGCCTGGCTAAATTTTTGTATTTTTTTTAGTAGAGACGTGGTTTCACCATGTTAGCCAGGATGGTCTCAATCTCCTGACCTTGTGATCCACCTGCTCAGCCTCCCAAAGTGCTGTAATTACAGATGTGAGCCACTGCACCTGGCCAACTTTCATGTATTTTTTAAAGCAAGGTAAGACTAAGATGAGTTATATAATTTTTCTATTGTCTTAAAAGATACAAATTTATCTGCAGAGACATAAGTCTACCAGGAGTTAAATCTCAATGAAATGATAATCACTTATTTCCTTCCTTCCTTCCTTCCCTTCTTTTCTTTTTCTTTCTCTTTTCTCTTTCTTTTTCTTTCTTTCTTCCTTTTTCCTTCCTTCCTTCCCTTCCTTTTTTCTTTTCTTTTTCTTTCTTTCTTTTTCTTTCTTTCTCCTTCCTTCCTTCCTTTCTCCTTCCTTCCTTCCTTCTCTCTCTCTTTCCTTCCTTCCTTCCTCTCTCTCTTTCCTTCCTCCCTCCCTCCCTCTCTCTCTCTCTCTCTTTCTCTCTTTCTCTCTCTCTTTCTCTCTTTCTTTCTTTCTTTCCTCTCTCCTTCCCTCCCTCCTTTCCTTTCAACAAATTACTATATTCAGTTCTACCTATGTAAAAGACTCCTTGTTCTTTAGAGCTAGGTAACCCTCAGGCTACCATCTTGTCTCCTTCCTGCACAGCCATGTCTCATAAAAGAATAGCCTCAATTTCCATTTATATTTCCTCACCTCACACTTATCCTTCAATCCAAACAACCCCCATGTCCACTTAGGATATTTTGCTGAAAGTCTTCCTGCCAATTTTGGCCAGACTCTCACAGTTGAAAATCCAATGGACACACTCTCTTCTTGATCTGTGTGACTTCTCTTGACAATAGGCCTTGCTTTCCCCTTCCCCCTTGCTTACACTTGTTCTCCCCACCTATTATGGCTTTGGTCTTACTCATTAATCTGGCTACTTCTTCATAATTTCTTTCAAGAAGAAAGAAACATTAAATTTTGAGACCTTAAATGTTGATGTTTCCCAAGGTACTCCAGTATCCTCTGCCCCTCTCACCCATATGCTTTCCTTGGTGATCTCATTCGTGCTCAGGGCTTTCGCTTACATGCTGCAGGAGAAGTAGTACCATGTAGAATCCGAGCTGTGGTGAGACAGGATTCCCAGTGGTTCCCATGGTTGCCACCTTTATAAAAGACCCACAAATCCATTTACCCAAATCAGAAACCTGAGTTCTAATCCCTTTCCCTCACTTACCCATATCCAGTTAATAAGTCACCACTTTCTGGCTCCTTACAACGTTTCAAATACACAACCCCTTTCCCCATTCCTCTTGTGCTTGTCTTAGTCCTGATTATTTATTCTCACCTCGATTCCTCCCTACTTCCAATGAGGTCTCTAGTTGCAGAGCCATCCTCCACCTATCTCTAGCGACAACTTTTGAAAACATGAAATGTGGACACTGTCCTGCTCCAAACTTCTAAGGTTCCCCACCCCCAAAGAAAACACTTTTGATGTAAAGTCCAAATTCCTTTCACTCTCTCTCTTTCTTTCTGTTTTTTTTTTTGAGACAGAGTCTTGCTCTGTCACCCAGGCTAGAGTGCAGTGGTGTGATCTTGGCTCACTGCAACCTCTGCCACCCAGGTTCAAGAGATTCTCCTGCCTCGGCCTCCTGAGTAGCTGGGATTACAGTTGCCCACCACCCTGATTGGCTAATTTTTGTATTTTAATAGAGATAGGTTTTCACTATGTTGGCCAGGTTGGTCTTGAACTCCTGACCTCAAGTAATCCGCCCACCTCGGCCTCCCAGAGTGCTGGGATTACAGGCATGAGCCACCATGCCCAGCCTAACTCTCTTTTTTATTGCTGTCTTGTTAAATATAATTGTCAAAAAAATGCAAAGAACTTGGTCTTTATAATACTGAGTCTATGGAATTTGTTGAGATCCCATTTTGTAAAAATTGTACATGACAATTTTTAAAATTAGATCAATGTATGCTTGAAAAGGATAATTTCTTGTAATTGTTTTTATTGATAAAGACTCGAAGTCACTTTAATTTTTCAATCTGGGAACTTAAAACTTCTTCAATCCTAGGAAATTCATTGTTGCCTTTCCCCTGTCTTTATGTTCTCCTGTAAATTAGAGTTCCTAGATATAAATTAGATGGTTTCATTCAATTCACTACATTTTTGACCCTCTTGTTTATATTGTCCATCTCTTATATGCCTGTGCACATCCTGCATGGTTACTTAGCAATGCCTTCTAGTTAATTAATCTGTTGTTTAATTTGCCCTCGGCATCTTTCATTTCATTGCCTGTGTTTTGCATTTTTGCAGTCTTATTAGATTCTATTAGAAATCCATTTTTTAAAAAACCTAATGTTCTATTCTAAAGTTTGTGATTTATTTTTTCTTTTGTTCTCCTTAATGATTTTAAGCAAACCAAATTATAGTTATTTAGGTATTGTAGGTAGGCACTTACAGTTCTTGGAGTGCCAGTTCTACTGTTTATTGCAACTGCTGATTCTGCTTAGGATGGTATATGTCTTGGGATTTTAAAGTTTTGATTATGAACTTATTTCCAGTGGCAGTTGTTTCTCTGTGGAAGTCCTATGTATTTTATTGTGACGATCACCTCCATTTTTTCCTAGAGGACCCAGAAGTTTCACTGTTCCATGAAGAGTTTGATGTTAATTTCTCAGTTTGATATTTCTGAACCATATACATAAAGTGAATTTGGATTCCACACTTGTCACAGTACAAGTGGATGGTATGATTTTTCTCATAGAAGACATTATCCCCCACCCAGAACCAGTGTAGCAGTAACAAGGAGGCAGAAATCCAAACTACTTAGCCTAGTGAACAAGACACTTCCTCACCTGGCTACTGTCCCCTCTGTAGTCCCAGCCTTTGTTTCTCCTACACCCAAGCCCTTCTCTACTTCCACATCAGATTTCAAGGACATTGCTTCATCACACCACTGGGCCAACTTATACTGCTCCCAATGTCTGGAATGCCATTTTCCCTCTTCCTTCTCTACCAGGTGGCTACACTTTCTTTATAGTGCAGATTGGATGTTATCCCTCTTGGAAATCTTCAGTTGACTCTCTAGAAAACTGATGTTGACACACTCAGATTGGGATGGAGAGAGAGTATGGACTCCACAGATGTTTGAATAGTAGTATTAGTAGTATATGGGGTTAAGGGAGAAGTAGGATTCAGAAAATTTTCCATATCTTTAGTGTGAACACTGTAGTATGCAGTGATATTGTTAATTAAGATAGGGAATCATGCAGAGAACAGGGTCAGGCAGGGGTAGATTTTGGAAGGGGATGAAAATGACCTTGGCTTTGAACATATTGCTTTTGAAGTGTGTATTGGTGCATGTAGTTAGGAGTCATTGGAAAATGTCAGTCGGAGGTCAGAGGAGAGGTTGATGCCAGACAGTAGTTATTGCCATGTAAGTGGTGGTTGAAGCGGTGGAAATAGAAGAGCTTCTTCAAAGGGACCATGAAGTGTAAAAGGAGAGGGAGCAAGGGTCAAGTTCTGGAGTGGACTAAGGTATAAAGGCAGGCAGAGGGACAAAAAAGGAGGAAGGAGACAGAGAAAGGTATTCAAGGACACCAGAGGAGAGCCAGAGGAGGGCCCAGGGAGAGTGTCCTGCTAGAAGGCAAGGGATAGGGGGTTGTCAGTAAGTGAAACAGGTTCAACTGGGTTAAATTCTACATGTGCTGATCCCAGCCCTCATTGGCCGACCCTGAGTAAGGCTGAGGCAGAATGTATATGATTTGTCTTTGTCCCTCATGCCACCTTTCACTTAGTAAAGTGCTATAAAATTATGCATTCATGAATGAATTCATAAAGGGCATAAAGAGCAAACTTTTACACAGGATTTGGAAACATTGTTCAATAGGTCAATTCTAAAGACAGACTAAATTACACTCCTCCTCAAAGCCATTTATGCCTCTTGAATGAAACTCAAGCCCAGCCTGACCTTTGAGACCTTTCAGATCCTGGCCCCGCTCATTCCCTGTAATGGCACTCATTCAAGTTCAGGCCACTTCATCCGCCTGCTCACTGTTCTCTGAGTGGATCCAGAGTTGACATGGACCAACACCCCTCTAGCTGCAAAACGTTCCTCCCCATCTCAACTTCCAGATTGTTCCTTTAAAATCTACCTCCCTCATGAAGCCTAGAAGGATTTTCCAGAACGAGTTGTGATCTCTTCATCCTCTCAATTCTCACAATCTCGTGTCTGCAATACCCATTGCATCGTATTTGGCTGTGTGTGTGTGCGTGTGTGTGTGTGCGCGTGTTTTATGTGTATTTGTGTCGTATGAGGTTTCCCACCTTCACTCTCACTCCTGGAGGGCAGACACAAAAACATGTTCATCTTTGGGAGCACCAAAGTGTCTAGTACCATGACTTGCATGTTGATGTTTGATACACAGCTGAAAAATAAATGAATGGGCGAATGTGAAGCTGAAGTACTTTGATCACATTATGGGATCTGGGATCAAAGCATGTGTGGAGTGTGCCAAGGTGGCCTAGAGAGTCCAGCAGCTCAAGAAGTGGCCCCAGACCACAGACATCACCATGGGGACAACCACAGTGAGGTCAGGGGCTTGTGCCCTGGCAAGAATTAGGCTTGAAGATTTGATTTCAAGTGAAAACCATAAACTTCATGTACCAGAATGAGAGAGGCTCATGTGAGATTTTCTATGGTTCAGCCCTGGCAAAAGTTCAGTCACCATGAACACAGTCAGAGTGCATTGTAGGTAGCTAGAGGTCAAGAATACATTAACACACTCACACACATGCATAAAGATGTATCCATAATATTTTAAAAAACATATTTGACTCATCTCAGAGTCTCCCAGGGATAGGTTGAGGCCCCACAGCTCTTCGTTATGCAGTAGAGGAAGACCAACGTGAGAGTTCATTTTATGTGTCAATTTGACTGGGTCATGGGGTATGCAGATTAAACATTATTTCCGGGTGTGCCTGTGAAGGCGTTTCCAGATGAGATCAGCATTTGAATCAGTAGATTCCATAAAGTACATGGCTCTCCCCAGTGTGGGCAGGCATCATCTAATCCATTAAGGGCCTGAATGGAACAAAAAGAAGAGGGAGGGAGGATTTGTCCCCTTCCTACCTTACTTGTTGAGCCAGGACAATGTTCTCCTGCTCTGGGACTGGGACTTCCACTGTCAGCTTCTCTGGTTCTCAGGCCTTCAGACTCAACTGAAACTATACCATTGACTCTCCTGGACCTGCAGCTACCAGATGGCAGATTGTCAGACTTCTCAGCCTCCATAATTATATGATCCATTTTCTCATAACAAATCAAGAGAGCAAAATCAGAGAGAGAGAGAGAGAGAGAGAACCAGAGAAATAGAGCCAACTGGATTATATCAGTTTGTTCTCATGGTGCTAATAAAGACATAGCAGAGACTGGGTAATTTATAAAGGAAAACAGATTAATGGACTCACAGTTCCACGTGGCTGGGGATGCCTCACAATCATGGTGGAAGGCAAAGGAGAAGCAAAGGCATGTCTTACATGGTGGCAGGCAAGAGAGTGTTTGCAGGGGATCTCCCATGTATAAAACCAGCAGATCTCATGAGACTTACTCACTACCATGAGAACAATATGGGAAAACCACCCCATTATTCAATTATCTCCACCTGGCCCCACCCTTGACACTTGGGGATTATTACAATTCAAGGTGAGATTTTGGTGGGGACACAGCCAAACCATATGAAGGATATTGGAACCCTGAATAATATACCAAGTTTACTCAAAAAAGCATTTAGGGCAGCTCTTAAATGCCTACTGCAGTTTGATCTCTGCAGGTGTGTATGGGAAAACCTGTGTCCACCAAGCAGCCAAATGCTTGTGTAAAGTACCTGGGAGATGTAACTTGGATCGTTTCAGAGTGTTTTTTTGGAAATCATTGAAGCCCTACCAAAACAAACTGAGTTTTGGTGTAATTCACAATAAGCCGTTCCTTCTCACAAGAGTGTCCAACCAATGGCTGCTTCCTTTTCTCTCTCTTCATTTGCTTTTCCCACTCTTATTTTCTCCTTTTTTGTTTTGATAAATATCAAAAGGGACATTTGGATAGAAATTGTTGATGTTCGTACTTAGATCTTATTCTCCGTCAAATGCCCTGTCAATGGCAGTGAAGGTAAGGAGTCACAGGCAGGAACAAATGAGCAAGAAGTGCAAAAAAACATTATGCTAGTCAGGCATGGTGGCTCATGCCTGTAATCCCAGCACTTTGGGAGGCTGAGGCAGGTGGATCATGAAGTCAGAAGTTCAAGACCATGAGGTCAGAAGTTCAAGCCTGGCCAACATGGTGAAATCCCGTCTCTACTAAAAATACAAAAAATTAGCCAGGAATGGTGGCGGGCACCTGTAATCCCAGCTACTTGGGAGGCTGTGGCAGGAGAATCGCTTGAACCTAGGAGGCGGATGTTGCAGTGAGCTGAGATTGCACCATTGCACTGCAGCCCAGGCACCAGTGTGAGACTGTCTCAAAACAAAAAACAGTAACAACAACAACAACAAAAACCATGATGCTATATGGGCTCAGGTTCTGAATACATTATGATTTTTAAACAGCAGATTTCTAGACCTAATTACCTGCATTTGGATTCATTTATGTCCCTAAAGCAGCATTTAGAGTCACTAGCTGGCAGTGAGGTGCATTGGCTGGGGTATTTCACAGTGTACACTATCTGCACCCAGGGATGAATTAATGAGGAAATTCCAAGATAGAGGGTGTAGATGGGCCAGAAGGAGCACCCTAAAACATGATGTTTTATCCATAAGCAGCAAGGTTGGTGGAGGCACCTACCTATCTCATAAATGCTGCCAGTCAAGGAGAAAAGGAATTGCTTTTTAAAATTACTTCATATATTTGTAGGGACCACAGAAGTCCATGCTAACAACAAATGCATTCACCTATTTTTTCAAAAGAGGAATGATCCCTGGGATTACCTCTAGTAGGTTTAAGTGTATGGAGGAAATAGCCTGGAACATCTGAGAAGTAATGGAATCATGAGTGAATAAGCCGCTTGGTGTTGCCACAAATAAATCATCCAGGAGCAACCTGAAAGCTATTTAAAATTCATAGTGAAGGGGAAGAAGGTCCCTGCAATACATCTTGATTTTGGTAATGCATTTGATACCACGTCACAAAATTTTACTTATGAAATTAATTGACACTGGCTTGGATGTGAACACTGTCATAGGGATCGATAATTTTCAGGGGTCTGTAAACAAGGCATGGTGATAAATCGTGTGACATCCTGCAAGGGGTAGTTGATTAGTAGGGGTGCCAAAGAGATTGGTGTTAAGCCTGATCATATGCAACAATGCTATTAATGGTTTCCAGGAGAAAGCAAAGAGAATGTTAATGAAATTTGCAAATTATACAAACTGGGGTGGTGCTGGAATAAATCCAATAAGAATGATGGATAGAATTTATTCCAAGAGATATAGACAGGCTCAATATATGGGTAATAAACAGCAAAATGAGATTCATTTTCAAAAAATGCAAACTAGGAGAGATCAGGTGACAAAATAAAATAAAAAAGTGATTCCTATAAGGGCACTAACAACTCACTTAATTTGTAAGATGCTCCAGGGTCCTTTTTAGTTGGTACCAATGTAGCTCTATACCTCTTTTTTTCCATCATCCTTTCCTCTTTGTTGCCATCCACCTCACATCTTTTTCTGTGACCTCCTTTACTGGTCCATGCCCTTTCTCAACTCTGCTTTTGCAAATACCGTTCCTTTTCCTTTTATTTCCACATGTAAAATCTAGTGCATTCTTGAACACCCCGCACATTGTTCATCTTCCTTGTTATATGGTTCTCTCCTCCCCTGGAAAGCCACTTTCTCCACTGTAAGGCTATCTTGCTTGGTAAATGCTTTTATTGGGATTCTTTAATTGCGTTATGACCCTGGAGAGGAAGTAAGGGCAGTGGCTATGTACATGGTCTTCAGGGTCAAACAAAGTCAGGAACCAGGATAAGTCTCACATCCACTTACAGGCTGCATGACCTGAGGTGAGTTTTTAGATCCTGCCAAGCCTCAGTTGTTCTGACTATAATATGGGTACCGTTTCAGGGATTCAATGACATACTGTAAAAAGCTTGGCCCGTTGATGAGCCAGTTTTCACTGCCAATCATTGCTCTCAGTAGTAGCCTTTGCTTAAGACTTTTCGTTTTTTTAATCCATGAACTCTTCAAGGGCAGAGAATTTGGTGATTTTAAAAAATATTCCTCCTAGTGCCAGGCACAGTGTCTGATGCATAGTAGGGTTTTCAGGGAGCCAGTGGGTACTACATTAGCATGGGATTTTTTTCTGAAGCTATTAGAGCAATTTCTTTTACTGTATGGATTTGGGTTCAGTGGAAACATGGAGAAGATAGATAATGTACATATATTTTCAGTTTCTTTTACAGGTGTTTCCGAGGGAAAGCAGGCGGCATTTCATCTGAGTTATGTATTGTTTCAAACATTCAGTGGAGGGTTTCTGGTATCTCTCTTGAACTCTGGTGAGCTCATGTCTGAAGCAGTATAGTGAAGTGTGAGCCAGCTGTAGCCAGATGGGTTGGGAGCTACAGAGGGGGCAGGCAAAAGCGATGTGAAGAATGCTCAAAGGGCCAGCCAGTCTGATTCACAAAGAGAAGCACTGAGGGTGTAAAGGCATGTATACAAATACCTGCAGTTATCCAACACATGGGGACGCTGAGGAGGAAGCAGGATCTTGGCACTTTATAACACTTGGGATTAACAATTTGAACAACAAATAAAAAGAAAAACATGAATCCGATACTTCTGATGCCAGTGAAATCTCCTTGGCTCTGGAATAGTCATTTTCGGCGCAGTGCAGCTCTCTCACATGCACAAACTTGCTGGAAACGAAGCGATGAAGCACCAGGAAGCTTACAGCCAGTCATTTTCTGACACAATGGTATGTGTCGTCTGATATGCTGGAAATCACCCCAGCCTGCCTATATTTGTTCACTAGCCCCAGGCTCTGTCTCCCACACATTTGCCAGAAACTTAGTATTAGTCAGTTTTTGATAAGAAACAAACATCTCAGCTGATGCTGTCTGACAAACATGGGCCAGCAGGTCAGCCGCAGTTTGGCTGGTCTAGGCTGAATATGGCAGGGCAGGGCCAAGCTGGATTCCAAGTTGGGTTCAGGTTGACTTATGGATCCTTGGGACATGCTGTCCTCATGGGAGATCATAGGACCGTAGGCCATCAAGCCAAATCACACAAACCCATTTAAAGCCTCTTGTTGTATCACATCTGCTAATAGTCCACTGGCCAAAGCAAATCACATGGCCAAGCTCAGCAACAAAGTGGCAGGGAGGTATAGTCAGTCTACATTATATTTCTTGGGAGATAATGTAAATGGTAATGCTTAAGATACCCCTTGTTCTCTCCAATATGGTGACTTCAAGGAAAGGTGATTTTCAAGCTTCATCTTGATTTTCAAGCATGGCAGTGCTTAAAATACTCCTCCTTCTCTCCAATATGGCAATGCCTGGCAATGTTTAAGACACGTGGCAATGCTTAAGATAGCCCTCCTTCTCTCCCATATAGTGATTTCAAGGAACTGTGATAGTCAAGCTTTATCTTGGCATTAGCACTGGGCATAGGCTGCAGAAGAATCAGTATCTCAGACAAATGGAATGGTATATGGAAACACACAGAAGTTTCAGGGGTTTCTTAGGTTTTAACTGACATTAAATACATCTGTTTAGCCTACACCAGTCGAGAGGAGGAGTCAAAAAACAGGGGCCAGCACTCAGTTGGTGGGAAGAAAAATGTCCCTGTTTGATTTAGGACCTGGGTAGATCGATGGTCCCTGAGAAGAACATCTCCAAACTCATTTTGCTCTTCCACAGCCTCACCCCTGTGCTCCTGCCCTGCTGACCTCCGTTCTGTCTCTTGCCACATCGAACTCTTTCTTTCCTCAGCACCTTCGCACATGCAGTCACCGCTGTCTCAAATGCTCTTCCCTGCCTTCTCTCGGTTGACTCCTTCCCCAGTGTCTGTCCTTCACTTACAGGTCTGCTTCCCAGAAGAACCTTTCTTGACTGCCTGTGTTGGATATTTTCTAAATGCACTTGAAATCCACTTTTCACGCTGTACTGTGTTCAGAGAGGCACTGACAGTTCTTCAGGACACCAGCTTCTTCTTAGGGGCAGAAAGTCAGAGTTTGGAGAGAAGTCAGGGTGTTTATCCCCTGGCCTCCCTCTCTGAAGAGTCATGTTGGTAGCCTCTGTACCTCTACTGAAAGCTTCTGTCAAGAGGATGCTCTCTGCCACCCCAGCTTCCTCCTCTCATCCTTTGAGGTTGGAAAAGACTCTTAGCAATTGCTAGCTTTTCTTTTGCTCCCCTCCAGGGACCCTCGCTATTTCTTCCTGGTTTCCCTCAATCCTCTACACACTTTTTCACTGAACAGTCTTTCTCTAAGTTACAACGTTTGAGTCTGCCATCTCTTCCTGCAGGGTCCTAATTAACACACGACCCTGTCTAAATATGTCTCTCCACTACTCTCCTTCACTGACCCTTATTTTTTTCTTCATGCACTTAGAGTTATATAATTGTAAACTTTATTTATTTACTTGTTTTCTGCATGTATATCTTGGTGATTGTGAGTACCATGAAGATAGCGACAAGGCTTGTTTTATTTACTGCTACATGCTCTTCACATGGTACTTGTATGTGACTCAAAAATATTTGTTAGGCCGGGCGCGGTGGCTCAAGCCTGTAATCTCAGCACTTTGGGAGGCCGAGACGGGCGGATCACGAGGTCAGGAGATCGAGACCATCCTGGCTAACACAGTGAAACCCCGTCTCTACTAAAAAATACAAAAAACTAGCCGGGCGAGGTGGCGGGTACCTGTAGTCCCAGCTACTCGGGAGGCTGAGGCAGGAGAATGGCGTGAACCCAGGAGGCAGAGCTTGCAGTGAGCTGAGATGCGGCCACCACACCCCAGCCTGGGCGACAGAGCAAGACTCCGTCTCAAAAAAAAAAAAAAAAAAAAAAAAAAAAATTGTTATATGAGCATAAAAACAAATGAATGGATAACAAGATACCAATCAGGTTTCCAGAGAAGAAATGTCTTTAGTTGAGCAATGCTATTTTTCAGGTATTATGTCCATGCATTACTTCATTTACAATACCCTAGAGGTAGATATAATTAATGTCTCTGTGATATAAACAGACTTTGAGGAGACTGAAACTTTGAGAGCTTAAATAGCTTTCTAGAAGACATACAGCTAGCAGGTAGTTGCTCAAGGATTTAAACCAAGTTCTGTCTGACTCCAGTTGCCCTGCGTTTAATCACTGCACTGACCTAAATGGCTGGGCATCGGAAGGTAATATAGGGCCTGGTAGCCATTCCCAATCTCTCATTTGTCTGCAATGGAGAATGTAACTAATAGTTGGATCAAGACTCCTGGTCCCTCCAGGACTACCAGGTGGATGGATCAATCAGATTCAGACTGTGCAGCTAATAGAATACTCCCATCATTTATTTTTCTGTTATTAATGAATGATGGAGTTTAAGACTGAGGCAGGGTGGTTCTTACCTAGCGAATTCTGCCTCTTTGTTGTCTGTGTGTCCCAAGGATATATTTAATGATTTGCTCTTATGTATGTATACGATGTAAAAAGAGGTGAATTCCGTGCCGAGCAGAACACCTGTCAAAAAATTAGGGTCTTAGTTTTACAAATCCCCAGCCTCCCTTTGATTACTGCTGTAACTCACGCAGACAGAAGAGAATCTTTAAATTATACAGAACTTCATGATTAAAATATTTTGCCCCTTTTTATAGTTTGGGAAGAAAGAAGATGTGGCTTTAGAGGCTTGGTGTCAAATTAAGCGATACCAGAGTCATAGAGGAACATAGCAAATATGCATAAAGGGGCTAAAAAAGCATTTCTAATAGGTCTATACCATAGGAATTTGCTATGTGTGAAATTGAAAGACTTCCTAGGGAAAAACCTTGGCCCATTTGCTTTTAAATTCACTTTTTATGCTCTTATGTTAAAAAAAATATTTTAAGCTCCATTATCCCCTTGCAAAGGAATCTGATCGAAGGAATAATCTCAGAGCTCTGGAGCTCCCAAAATGCTGGCCTGGAGAATACCTTTGCTAAGGACAGGTGCCTTCTGAACCCCCTGCCAGCCCAGGGTTAGGGCGGGAAGCAGCCTTGTTCTGATATTTTTCTCCAAAGACTAAGGCTATAGCTGCCCCTAGACATAATCAATCAATGAAAAGAACTCAGAAATATATATTAAGACTATCTAGGCTAGGCTTAGCGGGTAAGAGAATGAAAGCAACAGGTCTGAGAAAGCTTATGATTCAGCTGGGGAGATTGGGCACACCTGTGTTGTAATGGGCAGTACTGCGGATTGGTTCAAAGTGTAAAATCTGGGGAGTTCTGAACACACGAGTAGATTGCACATGGGGGTGACTTTTAGGGTACATGGTGATTACATCCAGTTGTAATCTGTGATCCAGAGTGGCAGAAAGGAAGTCAAAGGCTCTTCAAGTCAAAGAATGTCACTAGCAAAGGTTTGGAATTTGGTAAGCAGCAACTAAAGCTTCTAGCTGGAGTGAAGGCAGTAGAGAGGCTAGAAAGTGTTCTCAGAGTAGATTTAAATTCTGTCTTTGCTGCTTATGAGACTCATGACCTTGGTTTTTCCTTCAACTCTCAATTTTCATCTTCTCAAAATACTAAGAGGAGGAAGGAATGTTTGGAAGCAACTATGGAGAATGAAAACCAAACCTTTTATTTTTCATAACAGTCTGTCTAAATCGGTGCAAGAAAGCTTGCAAATCTGCATATGGTTCAACCTCTTTGCCCAAGATTTATAAGAATAGTGGAACTACTCCCTTGGAGAAACAAAGCTTCCATAATTTTTCTGCATATTATATAGGTATTTTGGTAACTTCGTGTCATTTCATTAGCTTTAAAAACTTAGAAGGTGTTGTAGATTTATTTAATGTTTTTTTCCATCTTAATCCAAACATTAAAGTTTTGGGAAAGTGCTTTATATTATTCAGATAGCTCCAAAAAGTACATATAGACACTAAGAAGGGAAAAATAGACACTGGGGCCTACTTGACAGGAGAAGGAGGGAGGAAGGTGAGGACAGGAAAACTACCCATCAGATACTATGCTTATTACCTGGGTGACGAAAAAAATCTTACACCAAAACCCTATGAGATGCAATTTACCTATGAAACAAATCTTCACATATTCACCTGAACCTAAAATAAAAGTTAAGAAGATTTTCAAAAAGACATTTAAAGGGTCATTTGAGTTTTGTTGAAGTCTGAGAATTTGAGTGATGTAAAGGACAACTCAACTCAGTAAACAGACTTGACTCTCAAGATAAATACCTCTTCATTTTGTTTGAGATCTTTCATGAAGCAGGTTGATTTTTGGCTCTTGTAAATCAGATCACATTTATATAGCAACAAAGAAAACAAATGAGCTAATATAACCCCTGTATTTTTCATCTCATAGACCATGAGCTGAATTTTTACCACTAATGTGTTGCTGAAGGTTGCCTATTTTATTTTTTTCTAGAGGCAAGGCAGTGAGAAAATAATGATTTATTGAGCTCCCTCTCCATGCTCTGTGCTAGGGACTTTACAAGTGTTTTCTCATTTAGTTCTCAGTATGACAATCAAGGCAGATATCGCTTTCATCATCTACAAAATGGGATAATAATAATGCCTCTATCTCTGAGATGCTATTAGGATACAACAAGATAATGTGTATATAGTACTTAATGTCTTTCTCATAGCTATAACCATTATCATTATTATGACCATTTTAATTCTACTTACCTCACTAAGGTTATTCCATCAGAAGAAGCTAGGATTAAAGCATTCTTATAAAAAGGCCCCAAATGATGCATGTCTGTAAATAAGATGGGAAATTAGTTGACCTATTTATTACCACTTATGTGTAAGAAATAAGCATATATTCAAACACTCCTTAAAAATTTGGTGGGATTTGGATAAATCGGAATTTATTTGGAGCATACCTACTGCCTAAATCTTCGTTTTTAGTACTATTCTCCAATAAAAGGAACCAGAGCTCTTTGGATAAATGGCTTATGCTAGGGCTGGAGATACAGAGAATGAGCATGGATCACCTTGTAGCATTAGAAAGCAAAGGAGTGATTAGAAAACAAAGTAAAAGAAAAAACCCACACCATTATGATGAGAATGTGTCAAAGGGACACAGCCAACTGCAAGAACTCCCAATGGCCAAAGCTGGAACAATATGAACAAAAATAACTAAAGTACTATTGGATCATAATGCAAAGCTTAAAATAAATATTTATGGGCCCATACTGACATAAATAAATGATGGAATAATTAAATAAATGGGTAAGAAGAGACAAATTGTCCACAGAGAAGAAATCAAAATAATTTATATAGATTCTCTGTCCTGAAGGAGGTAGACGGAATATATAGCTTCTTGTTCCCTAAGTGTGGGCCATGCATGGTGACTTCCTTCCAAAGAGAACAGTATGGAAACAGGGTGAAAAGGGAGATTTTACAGTGGAGAAACTTGACAAACATTACTCCAGCCAGGTGATCAAGGCCAACATCAACAGTCATAAGTCATGCTAACAGCAATGATGTGAGATAAATGGCCCTTGACTTTTGTGGTCTTCCTTCAAAAGCCTGTAACACCAGTCTAACCATCAGCCAAACATCAAACAAATTCCAGTTGAGTGACATTCTACAAAATACCTGGCCAGGACTCCACAGAATCATTAAGGTCATATAAAACAAGGGGAGTCTGAAAATTTATCACAGCCAAGAGGAACCTAAGGAGACATGGAGCAGGGTGGTGTCCCAGATGGGATCCCAAAACAGAAAAAGCACAGTAGATAAGAACTAAGGGAATCTGAATAAAGTATGGGTCTTAGTTAGTCATAGTTTACCAATATTGTCCCTTAATTTTAACAAATGCACCACATAAGATGTTAGTTTTCAAGGAAACTGGGTGTGAAGTATATGGAAACTCCATATTATTTTCATAATTTTTCTGTAAATCTAAAATTGTTCTAAAAATATGAATTATTTGCACATAAACTTTCTGTAGTCCATTGTGAGTTTTTCTGAATTCTACTTTGAAGGTGAAGCAGCAAGAGAAAAACGTGGCATGGAAGCAATAGTAATTATTTTTAGGTCATGCTTTTGTAAATAAAGAGTATCATATATCGTTAAAGCTAAGTAATTGTAAAAGAAAAGTTTATTATTCCCCCCACATTGTTGATGGGGGCTATGCTGAGAAGAACAAGAGACTTTGTAAGGCCTGGGTTTGAGGCCCTGCTTGAATTCCTTATCCTCTTAGGGCTGTTATTTGAGTGAATGAGGTCATGGCTGTGACAGTGATTTGCAGGCTGCCCCTCGCTTAACCCAAGTCATAGTACTCCTGTATTCAAGACAGGAGTTTAGGAATTCCAGAGAGGAGCTGGGCCAGATTGTTATAGCTCTCAGCTCCCTGAGTAAGAACCCTGAACTTTGTTTCATGGACGATGGAATTTGTGGTTGGGTTTTTTGAGCAGGTGGATGTCATGGTCAAGAAATGCTTCAGTACAAGTTTGCTTGGGAATGGGAAGAGGGCAGAGGCAGTGGAGGAAGGGGAGCTCTAGGCCAGTGATACAGTTTGTGTATTTTTCCCCTCCAAATCTCATGTAAAAATGCAATCCCATGTTGGAGGTGGGATCTGGTGGGAGGTATTTGGGTAATGGGGATGGATCACTCAGGAATGACTTGGTGCCATCCCCACACTAATGAGTGAGTTCTCACTCTATTAGTTACTGTGAGGTCTGATTGTTACAAACAGCTTGGCACCTCCTCTTCTCTCTCTTGCTCCCTCTGACACCATGAGACATGCCTGCTCCCATTTTGCCTTCTGCTATGAGTAGATGCTGATGCCATGCTTCTTGTACATCCTGTAGAACTGTAAGCCAAATAAACCTCTTTTCTTTATGAATGACCTAGCTGCAGGCATTCTTTTATAGTAATGCGAAACGGACTAATACAGCCAGTGTGCTAGCCTTGAAGAGAGAGAAAGGAAGGATACCTGTGTGGGAAACCTCACTAAAGAATAGTCGTAAGGGGTTAGCTGGGGACCATAGAAAAAAGAGGAGGAAAAATCATAGATAACCTTAAGGAGGGTAAATGGAAACACATTAAAAAGAGAGGAGAGTGTATTGTGGGAGAGAGTGAGTTCAGTTGTAGGCAACTTGAAAATTAAGGTGCTGTTGGGACATTCAAGTAGGAAAGTCCTGTGGACATTTGGCTGCGGGGCTGTAACTGGGGAGGGAGACTGGAAATGTGGCTAAGGGGCGGTGATACAGAGAGATGTGCAGAAGTAATGACTCTGGTTGTATAAATAGGGAGTGCTCCCAGAAAGAGAGAGAGGACAGCAAAAGTCAAGGCAGTACCCACTGAGGGACCCTTACACTGGGAAGACAGAGGAAGTGGAGCTTCATGAAACAGTTTGTTTCATGGCTCTATAGCTCTCTCCATTTCAGAAACCTAACAGGATCACCACACATTTCTTGACGCTGCCTTACTGAGACTGTTTGGTTAAGTCTGGCCCATGAATAGCTGGAAAGTATAGCCATCAGGGGGTCTTGTCTGAAGTGAGTCCCCAGTTCCCATCAGGATGGTCATTGTTTTGCTTCAGAGCCTAATTTCCACAAGGGTTCCATTAGAGGGTGACAAATCATGGGGCCACCATATATTTTATCCAAAGCAGGACACCTTGAGAGTGAAATGCAACTCTATTTCATCCAAATCAGGAAACCTTGAGAGTAAAATGCAGCTCTATTAAGAATTACAAAGGGAGCACACGAGTAAACCAGGGCTGTCCAGACAACCCAGTATGCAGACACCATCTACATATCAAGACCTTCATAGGGCCAAGGAAAGTTTTGCCCAAACCACCTCATTTCTTTCAGGATCTTTTGGATGAGCTAATGGCCTGTTCAACCATCCTTTGTCTTTTTTATACCTTGATCCCTGCCTATATTTGCCTGACAATTATTTTTAATAATGTTGCATTTACCCAGGTATCTCAGTGTTGAATATACTTGTGTTGAATCTGAAAACAAAATGGGCATCTCTAACAACTGATTATTTTTCTATTTCATAAAGAAGTTTCAAAGCGTAAGTACTTGGAGGATGAAGAAAGTAGTTCAATGTGTGGGGATGGAAAACGTACATCTAGAATAGTTAATGGGAAGAAGGTAATGAGCACAGGAAAGGATGTTGGTTTTCTCTTTTCCCATTTTGTCAGAAGTCTCAGACGCTTTCAACTTGTAAAGCACGGGTATAATTACTTTCTGATAATTCACAAAGTTCCCACCCAAAGCTTCCTTTATGCAGCCCCTTATATTACACTCAGCCGTGTTTCATGGACTGCAGTTGGTATAGCCATAACCATGACACATGCCAACCCTGAAGGGAGCTGACTGTCAAAAATACGTGGAATAAGCAGAGCTGACAGCGTGCTGACCAACCACAGGGACATGTGGAATGGATAACAGCTTTGCGGATTGCCCTCTTCTGCAGTGAGGCATACTTCCAGTTGCTGAATGATGACTTTAATGTAGAATCTCCTTTCATTCCTCATAAATTGCACTATATTAGAGGAAAGAGAGTGAAGCAGGACCTTAAAAAGTGAAGTGCCTCCAAGCACTGCCCTTGCATGAGAGCTTGCCCTGCAGGTTGGGTACCTTTGATGCATCCTGATGGGGTCAGAATCAGAAATTTACAGTTACTGGCAGGCAGGATGGTTGCACTTGGAACTTTGTGTAATTTGGTAGCATAATCTATGGATCTTTCCAGGATCAGGGGTGACTCTATTTCCTATGCCGCATTTATGCATGTAGAGAGCCTGGATGGAACTTAGTTTCAATAATTTGGGCTATTAGTTGGTTAATAGCTCTCATTTTGTAAGATGGTGTGATGGTCAATTTTATGCATCAACTTGACTGAGCCACAGGGTATCCAGACATTTGGTCAAACGTTATTCCAGTGTGTCTGTGAAGGTGCGTCTGGATGAGATAACATTTGAATGTATGGTAAAGCAGATTACCCTACCTAATATGGGTGGGCCTCACTCAATCAGATGAAGGCCTGCACAGAACCCAAAGCATAAGAGGAAGCCCCTCTTGCCTGTCTTTCAGCTGGGACATGGGGTTTGTTTCTGCCTTTGAACTCTAAGTGAATCATCGACTCTTCCTCTGGGTCTTAAACTTGTTGACTACAGCTCATCTTATTATTTCAGTTTTTCTGGAGAACCCTGATTAACACAGATGGTATTAGTTTGCTAGGGCTGCCAGAAAAAAGCTTAAATGACAGGAACTTATTTTTTTCACAATTCTGGTGGCTAGAAGTTCAAGATCAAGATGTTGGCAGGCTTGGTTCTTCCAGGCTTCTCTCCTTTGCTTACAGATGACCACTTTCTCCCCACGTCCCCAAATCGTATTCACTTCTGTACATGTCTATGTCCTAATTTTCTCTTCTTATAAGGATACCAGTCATACTGGATTAGGGCCCGCCCCAGTGACCTCATTTTAACTTAATTATACGTCTTTAAAAGTATCTGCTCTTTCCCCCAATGGAAACAGTTAAAAGGATGAGGGTGGTTGAATGGCTCTAGGGATACATAGAATGTGAGGAGGGGTTATAAAAAGATTGCCTTTAGATTCCTAAATTGTAAGAGGGAAATGGCAGCAGATTGCTCAAGGGCATCTCAACTGTAAAGTAAAGGCTTTTAACTATGTAGTTTTTCTGTGAACTTCCTGTCATAAGATCCTTCTTAAATGGGACACATACATTAACCTCTTGTAATAGGACTCCTTGATCAAAGGTGACAGAAAGCAAAATCTTTCTACTTAAGGACAAAGCGGAAATTTATAGGCAGGAATCTGGGTGTTTTGTGGCAGACATGAATGGTCAAGTGACAGGAAAGACAGGGAGGCAGCTAGGCTCAGAAATGACAAGCAGCAGGAATTCAAAGATCACCAGGGCTTTCTCTTCATCTCCAGTCTTTGCTTCTTGCTGCCTTTGGCTTCATTCTTTACTGTTTCCCTCTCCTTTTCTCTCCTTCCCTTCTCTGTCTTTCTTCATTAGGTCAGAACACAACCACCAACAATTCCAAAGCTTTATACCTTAGAGCTTTCAGTTACCCAGAGAATCAAGGAATCTCTTTGAGACTCAATCGGTAAATTTTTGGGCAGGACTTTAGTTTGCTCTGCTTGGCCCAGGCTGTATCAAGCATCTGCCTCTAGACCAATCAGTTGCGGCCACTGGACAGGCCTCCATTTAACAAAATGGCTGCTTTCACAGTAGGAGTCAGCAGGAGGAGACTGTTATAAAAGAGGGAAGAGGCAGACAAGCCTATTGGTGTCCTCTAAACCTTGTATTAGCAGTTTCTATATCTTTTAGAAAAATGACTAAATTATCTATGGCTAGAGATATGACTAGATTACATAATTAGCTTCATTTGGGGCTGATAGACTTTTAGATAAAGAGTTCAAACAACAAACAATTTGATTTCCATAAATTAGAGAATGTTCTGGGATAGTTTTGATGGGTAATCAAGACACCTGGAAAGTTCCACATTTAAAAAAAAGAAAACAAACAAACACAAATCAGCTGCAGTAGAATTATCACGGGCATGTAACTTTATCACCTAGTACTCGGCATTGAGATGGACAGATGCAGATGGAGAATGAGTTGCCCTTGACACCATACAGACGGCAAAGATCTTTTTAGTAAAAAAGACTGAGGGGTTTTCTACTTTCTTCTCTATGTGTTCAGAATCACAAGTATAATCCAACATGACTTCAGAAAGCAAAACTGCATTAAATGCTTTCAGAAATAAACATCTGATGTCTGTTAGGGTGACATAGCAGTAGGGTGACCATATGTTTTATTACCCCATCCAGGATAGGTTTGGAAGAGAAAGGCGATAGTATTAACTATTTATGGAGATCAGTTGACCATGTATAGTCACAGTGCATTTTAAGATATTCACATGGCCAAGAGAAACTTTTTGCCCAAACCATCCCATTTCATTCAGCTTTTAGTGAGGAACGATTCTGCAATAGGACTTTTGGGGTTACCCCAGTAAGAAGACCCCAGTTTGAACATCCAAGGCAACTAGGAGGCCTGGCATAACTTGGAGAAAACACACCAGTCTCATTTGGAGAATCATAGGACATTTTATTGTTGCTTGTCATATCATAGAAGCAAGTGTGTGGATGCCTCTACGCTTGATTGCAGGGCCTATACATAGAGTAAGGCTCCTGATCCCTTTCACTGCACTTTGCCAAGTTTAGTCCCTTGTTCCCCAATCACCCTAATAGCTTATGGTTTCTGATAAACTTGACACTGGCCAGAAGTTATGGAGGAATGACCTTCTCCTCCCAAATTTGGCCTTGTAAGTCCCATTGTATCATCTTTCCATGAGCCCTAATCAATTTGTGTTCTACCCATAAACACTGAAATGTGCAGGCTATATTTGCTATCATGAGACAGCTTTTGACTTTCCCATGTCCAACATCAAATCAGACAAATATCAAAATGATGTGTTTTACATCTTGGGAAAGATGATGATGAATGAAAAAAAAAAAAAAAAAGCCCACAGAGAAGTAGTCTATTACAGCATTTAATAGATAAACTGGTACAGAATCATAAAGACTTGTTTTAGTCCTGAATGCCAGAGAATAAAAGACTATGATGATCAGCCAGTCTGGCCTTGGTTTCATATCACTATCACTAAAGTACTTACAGCCTTTCTGTTCTGTTCTTGCTCCTTCCACTGGATTGACCTCATCAGGTTCACTCCACATTATCCGCAAGCCCCTCACTGCTTTTGGTGAACTGTCTTCCAGGATAGCCAGGTGGGTCAGACACTACCTGGAACCGACATACGGGAATCTACATGTACACGGCAGGGGTGCATTTTTGTTAATGTAAAAAGTTGAAAGAAAAAATATTTTCATAAGAGTTAATACTAATTATCTAGATTGGATTCTACCATCTAAACATTCTCTACTCATTAACACTTCAAAATACCTTAAACAATATTGAAATAACATTGTATAAGCCATAAAGAAATAATGATGGACTTGTGGAATCATGCTCCCTTTAAAAATGTCAAGTCTAGGCTTGGTAGAAAAATGAAGGGGACACGATAGGGCTGAAAGTCAATGGCCTTAATGGGGAGGGAGTTGGGGATAGGGTTGGCTGTGTGTAAAGGTGTCATGGCCATCTAACTCCACCACCTGGTACCCAGCATTGATGGGAACACATATTGATGGAGGGTGAGGAGTTGCACCTTACATCATATAAAAGGCAAAACTGAAAAAAGACTAAGGAGTTCTCTACTTTCTGCTGTGTCTAAGTGTCTAGAATCATGTGATTATTTTCTTGGTGCTCACTTTGTAAACCATTGTTTTGTAAACTATTGCTGACATAAGTGGGAGATACAGTTTATAGAAAAGTGCTACCTGTTCAAATTAAGTGGGAAACAGTGTGTAAAGGGTTGGTGTGTCCTGTGAAACCCCTGTGTCTGCATTATGTGACGTCAGTCACTCACAGAAGCCCCATTGCTGAGTTATGTCAGTGTCATAGCCTCATGCCTTTTGAAGAGGCAGCTGGGTCTAGGAACTGACAGCACAGTCTTTGAAGATTGACAGATGCAGTTTCAAATATTACTTTAGCAATATACGAGACCTGTGGTCTTGGCAACTTAAGAGTTTCTGGCTGTCTCTTTCCTCATTACACAATAGAGATATGTGATTTTTATCCATGTAGGGTGTATGGCATGATGCCTGGCACATGCCAAATGTTCAAAAAATGGTAATCATCACTACTATTGTTGCTATTATTATCTTTCCTGTTGCTTATTTCCATTCACCTTAAGTCTGACATGATAAATTGCTTTTATTATTATTTTTTTTAAGTTTTAATTTTTGAGACAGGGTCTCACTTTGTCACCCAGACTCACTGCAACCTCCACCTTCTGGGTTCAAGCATTTCTCCTGCCTCAGACTCCCAAGTAACTGGGATTACAGCCTCCCAAGTACCTGCCACCATGCCTGGCTAATTTCTGTATTTCTTAGTAGAGATGGGATTTCACAATGTTGGCCAGGCCTCCTGGCCTCCTGACCTCAAGTGATCCACCTGCTTCGACCTTCCAAAGTGCTGGGATTACAGGTGTGAGCCACCACATCAGAAATTACTTTTAAAACTCAGTTTTACAAAATGCGTTGTCCCCCACTTAGAACTAGTCTACAGAATTATGTAACTAGTTTGGTCTCCTATTTTCCCTAGCATCTAAGAAATTAAGTTAAATTGGAAATTGAGGCCATTAGGCTGATCTACATACTTCACTCATTGTGCTCTATGTTCCATGACTTCTACTTTATATTTTCCTGAGTAAAAAGTTACTACTTATAGATGATCATTTTTTTATTATATAAAGTTTGAAATTTCACCTTCTATGCTGTCTCCTGTTACCAATGATTTACGTCTCTTACACTAAAAGATACAACAAAGCAAGTTGAAGTTCAAGAACAACAACATAGGAGGGAAGTGAGTAGCCACTCCTGTACAGTGTTTGATACAGCTACTCATGTATCAGAAGGTTCTAGTCCCCCTTTTCTTCCAAAGACTTCCTTGGTAATCTAGTTGGCAAAAGAGAGTTGCTGTATATTGACCTCTCACAGGTCCACCGCATGGCTTGTTCCTCTGCTCCTCCTAATTCTGAGCTGGCTCATTTTGCTTGGACTTTTATTCTGCTCATTCTGCTGCCACTCACTTCCCAGGACTCTAAGACCATCTATGTCTCTACAACCACACTGGTCTTGGAGAAAGGGACAATGTAAGAAACACCACACTCTCCTGCTTGACCTGGACCGTGTGGGCATTACCTTGTTATTTCCCAACAAAAAGTTGACACCAGGATGCAATGATGAAAGTTAAAAGACTGTTTACACAAATAGATTTGCATAAGGCAGAGGAACATTTTGTGAGCCACCTATTTCAACAACCTACTTTTTCATTTATCAATGTAAAGGTTGATAAATAAGGACAACCTAAGATTTAAGAAAAAGAAAGATCCCCCCAAAAGAAGACAGAAATGAACAAACAAAATAGCTGACTCAGAAGAAACAAAGTAATTTAGGAAATAGAAACCAGCTTTAAAAATGTTCTAAGATGTCGAATCCATAAAACATGAACAAGCTGTCTAAAAGAGGAACAATCAGAAAATAAAAGGATTTGTTGAAAATTAAAATTGTGAGTGCAAAATATAGAAGATGAGTCTGGAATTCCAACACTCAGTGAATAGAAAGGACTTATAGAAGGAGCAAATGGAGAAAATGAAGAGGAAGAGATGATGATGATGATGATTATGATGACAATGATGATGAGAATCATGTTAAAAATAGTAGCAGTAGTAATAGTAGTAGTAAATAGCAGAAGATGATATTAATAATAGTAGCAGCAGCAGTAGTAGTAATAGTAATAGTAATTGCAGTAGTACAATAATAATGAATCAATATTTTCCTGAACTAAAGAAGAGTGCATGTTTTCAGATTGCATGTTCTCAGCACTGAACAGGGTGCAAGAACAAATGTTCACTAATACATACATACTATTAAAATTTTAAAGCTTCAAGAATGAGAAAAATGTGAAATCATCTATAAAGACTTAACACATTACCTACAAAAGAACACAATTTTGATTGACATAAGACTATCTACCTGCACCATTTGTGGCTAGAATAAAATGGAACACCACTTTTAAAATTCAATGGGAAAATTATTTTGAATCTAGAATTGTTACAACACCAAACACTTCATCCCATTCTCTTCTTGCTTGCATGGTTTCTTATGAGAAGCCTGCTATTAATTTTTGTGTCCTTGTTTGTCTATAGTCAGCATGTTTTTTTAATCTGGTTTCTTTCAAGATTTTCCCTTTGTCTTTGGTTTTCTGCAGTTCGAATATGATACGTCTATCTGTAGATTTTGGGGGTTTCTATCTTGATTTATGTCTTCTGAGCTTCCCAGAAATGTGGTTTGATATCTGTTATTAATTTTAGAAAGTGATCAGCTATTTCTTCAAATATATCTTCTGCTCTTTTTTTCTCTTTTTCTGCTATTCAAGTTACACGTATATTATACTTTTTGGAATTTTCCTACAGTTCTTGGATGTTCTGTTCCTTTTTTATTCTTTTCTTCTCTCTGCATTTTAATTTGGGAAATTTCTATTGACCTTTCATTAAGCTTACTGGTTCTTTTCTTGACTGCGTACAGTCTACTGTTAAGTACGTAAAGGATATTATCCACTTATTTTACAATGTGTAGTGAGTTAAACAGTGTTCCTCCCACAATATGTGTCCAAGTTTTAACCCCCAGTACCTATTTGGAAATACAGTTGGCCCACCACATTATGGTTTCTGCACTGGTGGATTCAACCAACTGTGGATCAAAAATATTTGGAAAAAAACAATTTCACAAAGCTCTTGAAAGCAAAACTTGAATTTACTGCACACTGAGTACTCCACTGAATCCACATGAATGAAGTGATGTATAGGCATTGTATTAGGTATCATAAGTAATCCAGAGATAATTTAAATTGTACTGGAGGATGTGCACAGGTTATATGCAAATATTATGACATTTTAGAGAAGAGACTTGAACATCTATGAATTTTAGTATCTATGGGAGTCCTGGAACCAATTCCCCATGGATAACCAGGAACACCTGTGGCAGATGTCTTTGCAGATGTAATTAAATCTTAAGATAAATGCAGTGACTTGTAGTTTTAGAGGAAGAGAAAATACAAAGAGACACAGAGAACACCATATGAAGATGGAGGCAAAAACTGGAGAGACACATCTAAAGACAAGGATTATTGGCAACTACCAGAAGGAGGTAGGTAAGAAAGAGATTCTCAGAACCTCCAGAAAAACACAAACCTGAAAAGACCTTGATGTCAGACTTCTAGCCTCCGGATTGTGAGAGAATAAATTTCTGTTAATTCCACAAAATTTTTGATAATTTATTATGGTAGCCCTAGAAAATGAGTACACAATGATTTTGATTTCTAGTATTTAAAAAATTATTTCTTAGCATTTCCATCTCTTTGCTTGCATTACTCATTTCTTGTGAGTTGTCTATTTTTTTCCATTAGAGCTCTTAATATATTAATTGCAATGATTTAAAAAAATATGTGTTTGATAATTCCAACGCCCATGTCATATATGAGTCTGGTTCTGATGTTTGCTTTGTCTCTTCAAACTGTGTTTCTTCTTGCCTTTTGGACTGGTAATTTTTTGTTGAAAACTCCACATGTTGGATAAAGGAAATGAGGTAAATAGGCCTTTCATGGGAAATTTTATGCTAATTTGGCAAGGAGTTGGATTGTGCTTAATGTTTACTGTAGCTGCAGGTGCCAGACTTTGAATTCCTTTAGCGACCTTGTTTTGTCTCCTCTGTTGGCTTTGGGCTTACCTAAGTACTCCTCCTCAGGAAGAGTCTACACTTTGCTGCTCTTTCAGATGTAATCCATTCTTTGTACAGGAGTCCTTTTGTTCTGTTGGCAAAATGTGGGGGAGGGGAAGCATTCTCTAATCTTACAATTAAATCTCTTTCTTTTAATAGAACTGTGTCTCAGTGCTGTTACCTTCACAGGTGTTTCTTAGTTTTTCTAACCTCCCTGACTGAGGTGAGATAGGAGAGCTAGACGGGACTGGAGTGGGAAAAAATGCCCTTGCCCCAAGTGGAATAACACTCTGGTAAAATCCTCTGGCCTTTGTTATGAAGAATGCTGACAATGGTTCCCCTTTTACCTTGTCCTTGCCAAAATAACTAGAGGATTTTTCTTGGCTTTTCATCATGAAAACCTGG